ATAAAGAGTATATTTGATTAGTCAAAATTTTAAATTACGAAAGATGAATAATAAAAAGAAAGGATGTTGAATATTAAAAGACAAAAAGTTTGCATGCTGAAACCTAGGGAAATAAACGGTGGTACGGCACACCGTTACAAATGTATATAAGTGGAAAGCTCGAGTAGCTCAGTAGTGTATTGAAGTAGGGCCGTGGCCCGCAATCGTTGGGTCGTCAGAGGATGGGTGACCAAAAATAAATATTCGGAAGGCATATTATAGGTACCGTTCTCGTGTGTCTTGGCTGCATTTGCAGTCGTTAATTCTCTCTAATCTGCATAAGCCAGTGTGACTATGGCCCATCCTCCTTAGCCATCAATAAGAATGACCTGAGCCCCTGCAGTGGGGACGAAAAAGGGTTGATGATGATGAATTACAAGTGAAAAGCTGTTTTAGACCAGTTCCAAAGGTTGTGGCTTCCCTTGCGAAACGAAATATGAACTCCATAAGTGCATTCCAACAACAGAGATTCTCCGCAAAACGTATGAGAGGTCATTGTTTAATATTTCCACATCAGCGTCGTCAGTAGGCCATGACAGTGTGACGTCAGAACTGTTGTAGACATTCTCATCGTGTCCATAACAGCGGATTCGTTCTTGAAGCTGTAAGTAGGCTCGTATTTACGCGTCTAGACGAAATTTTCGACCTTATAAATATCATGATGTATAGGATAAGTTATAGGATTTTCGTTGTTCAAGACATTGAGACGACAAAATTACATGTTTTTAATTATTATTTTTTAATATTGAAGACTAGCTCGGTGGCGTAGTGGATAAGCGCCGCGGCCCACGATCGTTGTCGTTAAGCAACTTTCGCAAGGGTCGGTCACGGGATGGGTGACCAAAAAACTATTATCTCGAGTCACTCCGTGCTTCGGAAGGCACGTTAAGCCGTTGGTCCCGGCTGCATTTGCAGTCGTTAATATTCTCCAATCCGCATTGGGCCAGCGTGGAGGGTCATAGCCCATCCTCCTTAACCATCCATAAGGAAGGCCTGAACCCCTGCAGTGGGGATGTAAAAGGGCTGATGATGATGATGAATATTGAAGAAAAATAAAATGATTTGTTCGCTCGGTAATGGAGAATCAAAGGAAATCGTAGAGAATACACCGGTAGACTACAAGGATTACAAGAAAGTTAAAACCGGATCCAGCCCTGCGATTCTGTAGAAATCTTCTGATTTCTACAGAAATGATTTCGAATTCACTCATGTGTCCTAATTCACGTCATTGAGTGTAGAAAGTCTATTGATTCCATTTTTAGTAAGTATATAAATACAAAACAAAATTGATTGAATATACGTGTCTCAGATATTCTATTCCTACTTCATTTAGAAACTCACTTCACTTATGCCACAAACCAATTCAAGGTTGAGCAAATGCCGCTTTTTCAAGTGAATTCGGACACCTGAGTGCATTCCAAATTTACAGAATCACAGCGCAGGTACCGCGAGATGATATTCGACTCTACAATCTTTCGCAATCCGGTAGCCTGCCAAGCATTGGGCTACCCGACACGCAACAGGAGTGGCGGATTTTTAGAGCACTTCTTACTTTTCACTGCCAGTAGTATTTACCTGTAATATTTTTTAAAATATTTTAAACTAAACAACTTTTGAACGGTGTCATCACGTTTGCATTTTTTTTTATTTTATTGAATTTCCGGACCCTTCTCTGGTTCCGTCTTCACATAAGACTTTCGTTGGTTGTATTTTTAAATAAGAGTATACCTACCTTCTTAACAATACTAATGAACACTTTTACAATACAAAAAAAAAATAGCTTTCATGCAAACGTTTACGAAATCAGTAAATATTTTAAATTTTCGGTTAATATGAAATTTTTTTCTAATTATTATATTTGATAAATTGATAAACAAATATCGTTCATAAGAAATCTACCAGCCATAATAAACATTAAGTTTATTTTTAAAGTTAGATGAGATCAAATATCAAATAATGACAACCTGTTGTTAAAAAAAAATAAGGAATTAATTTTTTAACAACATGTCGTCATGCTTTCCAAACATGTGAATGCTTATTGCCTCCTAATAGTCATATTTAGTTAAATACTTATATTAAATAAGAATTTCCAGCATTGAAGCACTATAACCTATATTTAAATTTCAAGTAAAAATTGTATTAAAAATGCCAATAAACTTAATATTTATTATGTTTTAACTCATCTAAAATCATTTAAAATTCATTCAATGGAACATCGATCCTATAAATTAGCTGAAACATTCAAGTGTATTTACTAAATAAATAATGTAGCATAAATAGACGAGTGGATAAATTTTACCATCTCAAAATCCCTTCGGAAAATCCCCTTTTTCTTTCCAATGTGTACAAATAAATAATTACGGGAGAAGTGGAAAAAAATATTTTCACCGAAAGTCTACGTTTCCATCCATTAAATAGTCCTGAATAAATGCTAGTCGATCCCGCGGGATTACGGCGTCCATTTTTTGTGAATCGTCACTTTAAGACCCTTTTTGGAGGTTTTTATATTTTAGCTTAAGTGAGACAGGACACGACGATTTTTTTCTGTACAATGCGTAAGCTTCTTTACAGTGAACTAATCTTAAATATCTTTCGACTAATCTCCTTATTCTGGTACAATCGACGGTAAATCGGGAGGATTTTATCCAATCGAAATTTTATATTAATTACAGCAAACTATTTTTAAAGCGTAACTACGATATAGGGATATACATACATATATTTTAAAATTACTTTCTTTCTTATACCATGACTTAATTGACAATAATATAATATAAAAATATATTTCTGTAAATTAATTAATTCTATTGTAGGTACTTGTGTCTAGGATAAAACCTAATTTACACGGTGAAACTAGTAAGACTATTTTATCTACTTGTTTATAACTACTGTACTATTTTCTTATGAATCCCGGAGACGATCAAGTCGACTTGACAAGTCTTACGTTATTGATGCTATTACTTGATGGGTGATTTGACGCCCGTTTAAGGTGCCGCCAAGTCAGAGAATAAAGTTTATAGGGTGTAATTAAACTATTACTCAGTTCCTGAATCGAAACCGGACTTTCTTGTCGGGGTTTGTTTCACCAATTCTTCTCAGACAAGACTCCCAAAGTTGGAACTGAGTAGGTTATGGCAGGCAGATGTAAATAATAAGTGAAATGTATTTTAAAAATCATTTAATTTAATAATTGTAAACGTTACTCTAAAATATTTAAAAAAAATTAATTGTGAATGTATCCAAAAGTATTAAGATAGGTTTTTGAATGTAGCTATACACTTTATTAAAAAGACAATCAACACCTTAGTCTTATGTGAACACGGAATTTGTAAAGGGTCCGAAATGAAAAAATACAGACGCGATGAAATCGGTGATTTTTCCTTCATTCACGTAGACTTGTTAAGTGAACTTTTTTGACCCGCCATGTCGTGTCACGCACATGCGCATTCCGTCAATTGTGATCATACCGTAAAACGACTTCATGGGTAACATCAAGTCAACGTGGTAAACGACCAATATTTACTTCAATCACGTAGACTTGACAAGTCGAATTGATCTTCTCCGGAACCTATTACACGCAGTTGCACAACCGTTCATTAAGGTTTAATAGCTTTAATCTTTAATGGATGTTCTAAATTTGAAATTTTATAACAGTAATTTTTGGACTTTTGTGCATCAAGGCTTTTAAAAAAAGGTGTAATGGTGCTAATTGAGTTCATGCTACTTTGATTTATTCGTTATTTGATTCAAAATACAATCAATGTTTAATATTTTATTGTTAGATATGGCGTGTATGCTTAATACATTACCGGGTTGACTTAAATGCTCTTTGCGCGTAATTGTAATTCCAGTCTGTGCCGCACAGAGTTCTGTGTTGTTACATATGACCTATAATACAGCATTAATAAAAACCTCAAGTTCATAAGTGAAATAACTAATTTCATTAATTATTTACAATGAAATTATAATTTAATTGAAAAGTACATTGGTATTTGATGAAAAATATGTAAGGACCGATCGTCGTGGAGATCTATGGGGAGGCCTATGCCCAAGTAGTAGGCGTCTTACGGGTGTGAAAAAAAAACTAAAGAAGAAAAAACATGAAATCTAGACGGCCATGCTTAATTGTGAAAACCGCTAAGGAGGTTGAACACTCAACAAAGAGATTGCAACAAATAACGACAAGAAACTAACAATGAAATTTAAAATTAGAACTATTTATCGGAAAACTTCTAAACTGATATTGAAGGCTAACAATTTTATTCAATTAACGTTTCGTTAATAGGTCAGCGATGTTTTTATAAATTCTCCTCTTCTGACAATATAAAACTTTCAGCGTCAATAAATAAAACTGCCATCCGATCCTAATTTATTATTAAAACTTTTCCAAGCCACATTTTCCCAGTGGAATATTTTTAAGAAATCCAATCGGGCGTCCGTTTTTAAATCTCAGTGTCCCTAAATTAATCCAATTAACTCTGTTTGCATTAACTTTCTGTCCTTGCTGGTCTATTATTTTAGATTTATTATACTTCTTAGAAAAAATAATTTTATAAATTGAATATTTTCCGGCCTTTCAAATTAGGCAGTTCTTTTATTAGGTACACTGTAGGGGTATTTGTGGGCAGGCCTCTAGGAACTCCCTCGGCGGCTAGCTGATAAGGGGATTCATGAAGGAAAGACCCACCCCCCTGTCACCTGACAGGTGACAAGGATAGTGCCTAACGCATTTACTCGATAACAAGTGGCAGTAAATAAATAATAAACGGTTTCATTTACATTACTCAGATTCAAAGATGAGAAGCTATAGTAGAGCTAAAGAATAACTGAGACAATAAAGGTATTAAAACATAGTAAAATATAGAAAAGTAAATTTGATCAAAACTCAAAAAAAAATTGCATATAATTCGCCTTAATAATTATAGCATTGAACAATTAGTAATTTAAGTTGTGTGTTACAGAGAGGAGATGTACTTGGAAAAGGTTCCTTGGGCCCAGAGGTGGGACGCCGCAGCACTCAGCGGCCTCGACCGAGACTGAGCTTCCGCCAATAGACACTAGAGACCTTTGGATACAAGATTCAAGGTATTTACACGTATTATTACTTTATATATACATTTGCATCTAAAGACGTACAAAACCGTGGATTCCGCGGATTTATTTGTTTCTGATGTCAAGAGATGGCGTTAGTGGACTGTTTTGATATTTTGCCAATGTCACGTTACGTTAATATTTTGAGTTTGCAACATAAAATCGTTAATGTATTTACTCGATTATATTTCGTTTTTCCTTCTCGTTTAAAAAGTAAAAAAAATATATATTAGTAAAGTTATCGTTATTTTAACGAGTAGCGTCATCTGTCGATGGCACAGACAAATGAATTGGTGTCCTACTATACAGTTTGTATTTGTATTTTAAATAATCATATTTTGGAGGAGCAACCAAATATTATCACATAATAAATAGTTAAAATGAATGAATATTTATTATACTTGCTTTGTTTGCATACATAAGGAGAAGCAATGAAATTATTTTATTTATATGCTTCAATCTATTTGACGTTGATTGTATGTATAGATATTTACTATAGTGAAGTCCTAAAAGATAGTTAGGATTCTCAAAACGATTAACAATAATTAAAAAATCTAGTATTAGCTACTTTTCTTGTTTAATGGTTTAATTAGTTAATAAAGCTAATGAATATTTTTTATGATAACTATTTAACGTTGTATCCATTTTCAAAACTTGGAGTTAGCATAATAATTATCATGTTTTTATAAAAAAGCGTAGATTATGCGTAGGTATGATTGTCAAGTAGGTAGTAAATAAATGTATATTAGCTTGTTTCATGTGTATATTGACAATATGCTTAATACTTGTAGCATGATACATGTTAATTGTCTATATGCGTACGTTGTTATAGCATTGAATTGGATTGAATTCGATTACATTCAACTACATAAGTTCAAACCGATAATTTCAAATTAATAAATATTAACATAGGTATAATAAGAGTTTTCATTTGAGATGTTACAAAATATAATTTGCAATTCTTTTTTTTATTCATAATATACCCCCAAATAAGGAACGTCATGTTTAAAAATTTTTTGGACCTTTAAAATATCGATTTACATATGTGTGCTAAATTCACAGATAAGAGAATGATTCTATAGGGACACTAGCTTTCCCTTTTACTAATATGGAACTCTTATAATAACAGTATCATTATTATATTTTTATTGTTTTAGCATTCACAAAGCCATACTGAAAATTATTTTTAATACAAAATGCAAAAAAAAATTAAATCAATCGGATTGCGTAAGATCGTGGGTTCGATTCCCATCTCAGGGTGCCAGGGACCAAGTGGATTTTTAAGCATTTTGTATTAAGAATAATAACAGTATCATATTAAATTATATTTTTAAAACCGTTCTCATTCAAATTTAAATTTCCAATGACATCGAGAAATAAGACTTCGTTTTCTATTTGAAAGGAAAATATTTCGCAACGATTTTACTTGGGAATCTAAAATTTAATCGAACTATGATTTTGTAGGGTAAAATAATCTATTCAAACTTCTTAATGAAATAAAGGTTCTAATTCTAATTTAACAAAGTATTATTCTTAGAGAAGTTCGCACGTTTTAGAATAGAATCAAATATTTCTATCTTAAACTTCTAATTATTATTTAATTTGATTCTAACTTAATTTTACAAGAGATAATAAGTCTTTCAATGTCGTCGGGTATCCGAAGGATGGATGATTTAGGTTTCACGATGTCTTTAGTAAACGTGGGGCTAACTTTGTTGAATCTTAAAAGAGTTTGTATGTTACCCTTTAGAGATGATGCCTGGATATAAAAGAAAGAAATTCTATTTAGTCAGTCAGTCAGATAATAGAAAAATATTAAATACGTACTGTTTGCTTCATTCTTTTTCTCTTCAAGTTTAGGAGTACTACTACTACCAGCAGTGGTGTACGTCATAGCTTTGTAGAAAATGAGCAAAAGCGTGACGTCATATGACATTTATTGGTTGATTGATTATAAACAAGTACGTACCTATTTCATGTTCTTATATAATGTACCTGAAGGACAGACAAAAAATGTCACCTGAAAGATTATGTGACAGGTTTTCAAAGAATGATTTTATTATATGTCAATCAAACCATAGGTAGCTGTCAGCAGATTCATGTATAATGCAAGAGATGGCGTTAGTTGTATTCACAGACCCAATAGATGTATTATTTTGATATCAATACTAACATCACCGTCCCTATTTCCCTGTGTACAACATTAAGCATGGGTTGGCGACGTATCGCAAGCGATCCTCTACCGTCGCGGGTTCCGAGGGCTTAGTTCTGGAAAGGGGTGCGTCGACACTGTTGCTAGCGAATATATCATACACGACAGTCCATAGGCATTGATCCATCGTTCTTCCTAAATGTCCTTATTATCAATAACACGAACAATTCACCAAGCTCATTCAAAATTAGGTGCGCGCCGTTAGGAATTTTAACACAGTAAAAACCATCACCCAAGCATTAAAGGTGGGGATTTGGAACAACGACAGCCAATCGCCTTACCCATAGACAATAAAAAATTAACCCACAGTTGTGTTGTCTTTTGTAGTTAATAAATCACCTATTTCTTACGGAACACCCTACAATATTGCGTCCTGTGTTTTATCACCATCATCAATGTCCACTGCTAAACATAGGCCTCCTCCACTGATCTTTACGACGAACGGTCTTGTGCTGCCCACATCCAGCGGCTACGTTACCTTTATAAGATCGTCTGTCCACCTGATGGGGGGATTACCAACGTCGTCCGATAAGCGGTCACCTTTCCGCCCTAACGGTGATCGGATCTTCTTGATATGTGTCCCACCCACTCCCACTTCAGCTGAGGAATTCTTCGGGCGTTTGTTCTCCCATGGATTTTTTCGTTCCTAATATGATTTCTAGAGAAATACCAAGCATTGCTCTCTCCATTGCCAGCTTGGTGACCTTTAGCCTTCTGTGTCGTTTGCGATATATTATTAAGCACTTATACTAAAGCACTCGCAATATTACAGAACCTACTCATTTGAAAATACCACCGTAACAATTGTTTCCAAGAAATGTGGTGTTTTTGTTTTGTTTGTATTGGGTTTTTGAAACAAACACGCGATACGAGTATGATGTATTTCAGAGAATTGTAAATGAATCATGCCGTAATAAACATTTTCAATGAAAATGAAAATTTTTATTGGTTTGTCATTATACTTCTGGAAGTGAGCCAAACAAAAAATGCAAAATAAGAATAAATGATTTAAGTACACATTGTTTTGAAGACTGGTAATTAAAAAATCGGATTAACAAATTGCTAGTTATAACCTGGACTGTAATAAAATAATGAAAATACATTTAAAATCATCAAATGGTTGAAATGTTAACAACACCAGTGGCAATATTATTGTTAGCAGTAAGCAATATTCATTTTGGATCTTTGATTCCATTATCATTTCATCAGATAAGTATATTTAAAGTAAATATGTGATCTACGTATTATCTAATTATGTGAAATGTGAAGCTGAGCTAGCTTAATGGTGTACCAAGTCTCCAAAGCAATACTAGTTTTGTTTCATATAATACTCATTGCAGTTCATTTTATAAATTGATGTCTCTGATGGTGGTCACCTTGCTCGGAATAAAATGTTTTAATTTCCGCTAAGTTTTATGATGAATTAAATGCCATTTCTCATTAAACTGCATAGGTTAATTAAGGCGTGCATTTTACTTTGACATTGAAAGGTATGTTTCATTTGCATGTAAAGTGATTAATGAACCTCGTGTTAAAATTATAAAATGGAAAGTCAAGTGGTATTCACGGTAAAATTCATTATTTTAATTGCATTGAGTTCTCGTGACACCCAAATATTTAATGTAGCAATTTTCTTTTTTTCAAATAAATGTTTAGTGTTTTGTTATTTCATTACATATGACGATATCTATTTTTTTGTTAATTGCAAAAAATTATAACTTAATCCGAGGAACGCGAACACTCGTAACTATAGATCGAGTAAAAGTAATTACATAAGCAAATATTTTTAGCAAATAAACAAGAAATTAGATTAACTAAGAGCTGTTTATAGATAGTATTATTATTTTCTATTAACAGTTCCTATTTCATTGAAAGTCTCGCCTATTGGTTTGTAATAAGTTATGCCAATTTCTCGAGCCATTACTTGATACGAATGTAATAAATAGTAGAAAAAAGAAAAGATTTATAAAGTAAAAATGGATTTAAATTATATGGTCTTGAACTATTTTATATAACTTTAATAATATTCAACAATTTAACACTTAATTTTATAACATTTTGATATTTTAGATTTCTAACGAGGAACTGTCAATAAAATTATTATAAGAATAATGGCAGATTGGTACGAGTAGTTTGGTATTTTATAAGGACATAATAAAATATTTAATATATAGATATAAAAATATATTTTTATTATAAAGCCACCTATATTTCTATTATAAAGTGAGAGACGTACTCTCTATCTCTCAGTACTACTAAATGAATAGTAAGATTAAAGCATGCGTCATTAGGAAGTGATATACATAGTCAGAAAAAACCTCTCTCTAACTAAGGGAACTTCCTGCGCACAGCTATATGTCTATTTCCATTTTATATAACACCGAATGGATATGATATCCGGAATTATGATATCATGTCTCGAGGCTCAATTTCGTCTCCCATTTACGGATGGATGTATATAAAACTAAGCCATGACGTTTATGTCATGTGTGATACCTTTTGCCGTCTTGATTCTGTGATACTTATTTATTATGTCACCGCCTGGTAAACACGTATGAATCAAATGATGTATAATACTATAACACTGTCGATATCAAGGTAGATAATATGTCAGGGAAAAGATTTTTATGGTTTTGTCTTTGGCATTATATCGCGTCGCCGCGTCGCCTTTATATGTGAAACAAAATAATGATGATGGAATACTAAATTGTTCATTCAATTTTCTCAGATGACTGCTAAATATTTCGATAATAGCAATAATAGAGTATAGGTTACTCCTAAT